CCAGACAAACTGTAGATGTTTTGTGATCAATAAATGTCACTTTAATGTTTTTCTTACTACATTATCGGCCAAATTCTTACATTATAAGAGGTCAATTTTCTTAACAGGCCAATTATGTTGTAACCAGCCAATGACGTCATAAGTTATCGGCACACCAGAGTTATAACATTATCAGGTTTAATGAATTTTGAAATGGCCATCTTTATTAAATTATGGGATGATTTTACATTACTTACTCTCTGATAAAGTACAGTGAAAGTCGTCAGATGATTGATTTCCATGGAAACGGCCATAATGGTAAAACATTCATATATTCTCACTCATGTTCATCCTGGTGACATTAAACACAAGTCTTATTGAAGTGTGTAGATGAAATATAAGCGTAGATGTCAATTCATTTCAATTCAGAGGTGTTGTTATCTGGACTAAATTGTGCCCTCTCAGTCGAAAAAAGTATGTCTCCATGACCGCTAAGTTAGTCAAATAGCAATACATCTTGGAGTAAAAGCGGACAATGCTCTGAAGCCTGATGTGCAGATTGGCCGGGTGTGAAAGCAAAAATGTTGAAGTTATGACATCTGTAATCAATTTGTGATTTTGATCCATGCTTTTATTAATAACCAAACTTTTGCAATGCACTGGTACTAACAAGTATGAGCATATTTCTACACCTTGCAGTTTTCGGCTTTCAGTATAATTCCACTTTGGTTTTAAAATCATTTTCTTTGTGTTCAAATGTCTCCATGGCCTCGTCCCTCGTCACCTCTCTGACCTCCTGACGGTGTATGCCTCTGCACGCTCTCTCAGGCCGGCTGATCGGTCCTTACTCCCTCCCTTGGCACCCATTATGTTTTCCTGCTGTATGGTGTGTCAAGCTGTTTCTTACACATTGTGCTGGTTTATGAACCTCATCAACAAGTCGTATACAGTATTTGTAGTCTGCGGCCGTGGATCGATAGAAAGAAGCAGGCAGCGTGCAGCATGCAGTGGGCGCCCGGTCAGGCTGAAGTCCTGCCGGGTTCTTTCCCCAGAGCTGGACACGTCTGAAAAGTCTCCCCCATGACTGAAGCCTGTTATTGCTGCTTCCTTGCTCGGTGTCAGCTGGCTCCTCTCATCCTTGCAGCCACCTGGACTATAGGGACTCAGGACTTTCGTGGGCTGTGGACTGTCTCGTGCCTCCTGGGATTAGAATGCGCACACGCCGCAAATCTCTGTTTGTTAGATTGGCTTGAACCTGCGGTAGTTTTTGCTCCAGGTGCCACAGAAATTTTTACTATTAGTAACTATTAGTATTTGAATCCAAGGTGTCAATATTTATGAACAGCGTAAGCTACAAGACTCATTTTCTTTGATTTATTTGATATCCTTAATTTTGAACAGGTGGAATCATGATCCTGTGTTTTGCACGATGATCTACACACCACCAAATGATTAACACTGAGTGACTTTTTCAGAATGGACTGCCTCCACATTGATCTGCGACGATAGGCTAATTTATATTAATGGTTTGAGAATTAAACCAGCTTGACACCAAACACGTAAATTATTGCTGAAACCGCAATAGTTTCATTTAAGCGCGTTGGCTGACTCGGTTGTTTTTAAAGGGCTCTATAAATAAATTTTGTTTGGATTAGATTAGATTAAATGCAGTCTGGCTTCCTTCTAATGTGTGGCTTAACCTGGTATAATTCACATACGATTATAATTCCCAACAGTAGATCAGATTTCAGCACAGTTTCATAAGCTTTTTGCTGCGCCTCCTTTACCCTCCCTTTGTGTTTGTGTTTGCTGAGAGTTTGGAATCGCAGCGGTGCTCTGAATGATTGACAGTGTGGAAGCAGTAGGACGGAGTGTGTGCAGGAAACAGATTTTTCTCCTGCTTTGGAAGTGAAGGAAGTAATGGTGTGAAGGAAGTAATGGTGTATGTGTCCAGAGGAAGGAAAGTGAAGAGACTGCTATCACTACTGATCTCCTTGTGACTCTTATTGGCACTTCTGGCACTTCTTTGAGGTGTATATTTGAGTGCACCTACACTGTAAAAAATGATACTTTGGATTAACTTAATCAAATTGCTGTAATTTGTTACAGGCAATTTGATTAATTTTTCTCAAGTAGTATTTATCATTTGGCTAAAACCATACATTTCGATTTATTGTAAATAAAAAATATAACTTATTTCCAACAAAAAAACACACTTCAATCTGAAGTAAAAATATAATTTGTAACAAAGAACTGAGTACTCGTTTTGCTTTGATACGACCTTGTTTATTTACTTTAGAACAACTTAATATTTTCACTCAAATCAATGTAAAGTTTTCACTTCGAGAAAACAGTCATTTCAAATTAGATTAAGCCATTTAATTACTTTGTTTCAAACATATATATTTGATTTGGCTAAAACTACTAATTTACATTCATACAAATTAAAATTATTACTTGTATTAAAGAGATGATCAAACTAATTTTTGGCTTTAGCTTAAATTGATTTTTTTAATTTTGGAAAAACTAATATTTTCAGTTTTTATTTCAAAACTAGAATTTGTACTTTGAAAAAAACTATTCTAATTGCTGTAATTTTGTTACACGCAATTAGATTAGTTTGCTTCAAGTTGAATTTCTAACTCAGAACAAACTATCAGATTTGATTAGAACAAAGTCAATCATTTAGGTCAAGATCATTTTTTGTCAAACGCCAAAGTTTTAATCACTTTCCTTAAATAAAAAGACAAACATCAACTTACAAAAAGGACTGATATTTATTGTGATGCTTGTTAAGTTTAGATCACAAACAGTACAAGCATGAACAAAATTGTCCTTTTAATTTCTTTTAAAACATGCTTACAAGTCAAATAAAATCAGGGACATCTTTTTTTTACCTGAGATGCAACATTTTACAAGCTTTGCTAGATTAACAAAATAACTGAATAAAGTGCTTAAAACACTGATCACAATACCAACCAGTGAAGCCGTAAAATATGTAAAACTTGGGATATGTGATATCTGTTAAACTGTTTAAACATGTTACTATGTGAAAAAACATTTGGTTTAACACTAGGCAATATTACCATGACATATTTCAACAGTATACTATCCAGAAGCATTTGCTGATGTGCCTGTTAGCGTATTGTACTGGGTCGACCGCATGCTCTGCCGGCCAGTGGTTGCTAGAGAAAGTCCCATGTTTGAAAGTTAAAAGGTGCCCTAGTCTTCTTTATTTCTATTGCTTCTTTGATCCAGGGTTGCATTAATTGGGTTCCTGATTGATTATTGTTTTTGTTGTCCCAGTTAGATAATTATTGATCTGATATTGCCAATTAAGTTAGGACAACTTAATCGGCAATATCAGATCACGGCAACCGCAAAAACCATCTCATGGACTGAGACAGCACAAGAATCAACAATCAGGAACCCACCGATCAGAGAAACAATAAAAATGAAGAAACAATTGAGACGAGGGCGCGTTCCAACTCTCCCAAACATTAGACTTCCTCCAGGGACCATTGGCCGACGCATTCAGCCCTGTACTCTATACAGGTTGGCTGGGAGGAGCAGTTGATAAGGCACATTATGTGACGTCACAAGACACATCTGAGGAAGACTAAAGCATCTATCGGAACATTTCAGGTAGAAATATCGATAACTTAAGTGAGAAAATTGAATGGCGAGTAGTGCGATAAGTCACCACTATTGAATAACCAAGACGAAACTGTTAGAATAAATCTTACAATCTATTGAAACTTTACATTGGTTCGTCGACCGCGGCCCGTTGGGGTGTGGCATACTACTGGGCCGACAGCGGCCTCTGCTGGGGTGTGGCATACTACTGGGCCGACAACGGCCTCTGCTGGGGTGTGGAGTGCTGGACTGACAGCGCCTCCTGCTGGGGTGAGGAGTACTGGACTGACAGTGCCTCCTGCTGGGGTGTGGAGTGCTAGACTGACAGCGCCTCCTGCTGGGGTGAGGAGTACTGGACTGACAGCGCCTCCTGCTGGAGTGTGGAGTACTGGACTAACTGTCTCCTGCTGGAGTGTGGAGTACTGGACTGACAGCGCCTCCTGCTAGGGTGAGGAGTACTGGACTGACAGCGCCTCCTGCTAGGGTGAGGAGTACTGGACTGACAGCGCCTCCTGCTAGGGTGAGGAGTACTGGACTGACAGCGCCTCCTGCTGGGGTGTGGAGTGCTGGACTGACAGTGCCTCCTGCTGGGGTGAGGAGTACTGGACTGACAGTGCCTCCTGCTGGAGTGTGGAGTGCTGGACTGACAGCGCCTCCTGCTGGGGTGAGGAGTACTGGACTGACAGCGCCTCCTGCTGGAGTGTGGAGTACTGGACTAACTGTCTCCAGCTGGGGTGAGGAGTACTGGACTGAGAGCGCCTCCTGCTAGGGTGAGGAGTACTGGACTGACAGCGCCTCCTGCTGGGGTGTGGAGTACTGGACTGACAGCGCCCCCTGCTAGGGTGTGGAGTACTGGACAGACAGCACCTCCTGCTAGGGTGTGGAGTACTGGACAGACAGCACCTCCTGCTGGGGTGTGGAGTACTAGACTGACAGCACCCTCTGCCGGCCCTTGAGAGTCACATGTTTGAAAGAGATAGAAGGCACCCTCGTCTCAATTCAGTTTCTGCGCCACGCTCCTTGATTTCTATTTCTTTTTTGATCAAGCATTTGTATTTATGTTATTCCTGATTGATGATTCTTGTGTTGTCCCAGTTAGATAGTTATTGATCTAATATTGATGATTAAGTTGTCCTGTCTAGATTAGTCTCAATTCAGTCTCTTTCTTGCAGAGACTAACTAGACATCTGCAATATCAGATAACTGCAAATGCAATAACCATCCCATGGACTGAGACAACACAAGATTCAACAATCAGGAACCCAACAAATAACACTGGATCAGAGAAGCAATAGAATGAAGAAACAATTGAGACGAGGGCGCATTCCATCTTCCCCAAACATGGGACTTCCTCCAAGGACCATTGGCCGGTGCAGTCAGCCCAGTCAAACACCCCAGCAGGAGGCGCAGTCAGCCCAGTACATTATACCCCAGCAGGAGGCGCTTTCAGCCCAGTCCTCCACACCCCAGCAGGAGGCGCTTTCAGCCCAGTCCTCCACACCCCAGCAGGAGGCGCTTTCAGCCCAGTCCTCCACACCCCAGCAGGAGGCGCTTTCAGCCCAGTCCTCCACACCCCAGCAGGAGGCGCTTTCAGCCCAGTCCTCCACACCCCAGCAGGAGGCGCTTTCAGCCCAGTCCTCCACACCCCAGCAGGAGGCGCTTTCAGCCCAGTCCTCCACACCCCAGTAGGAGACACAGTCAGTCCAGTCCTCCACACCCCAGTAGGAGACACAGTCAGTCCAGTCCTCCACACCCCAGTAGGAGACACAGTCAGTCCAGTCCTCCACACCCCAGTAGGAGACACAGTCAGTCCAGTCCTCCACACCCCAGTAGGAGACACAGTCAGTCCAGTCCTCCACACCCCAGTAGGAGACACAGTCAGTCCAGTCCTCCACACCCCAGTAGGAGACACAGTCAGTCCAGTCCTCCACACCCCAGTAGGAGACACAGTCAGTCCAGTCCTCCACACCCCAGCAGGAGGCGCTGTCAGTCCAGTCCTCCTCACCCCAGTAGGAGACAGTCAGTCCAGTCCTCCACACTCCAGCAGGAGACAGTCCAGTCCTCTACACCCCAGCAGGAGGCGCAGTCAGTCCAGTCCTTCATCCCCAGTAGGAGGCGCAGTCAGTCCAGTCCTCCATCCTCCAGCAGGAGACGCAGTCAGTCCAGTCCTCCATCCCCCAGCAGGAGACGCAGTAAGTCCAGTAAGATACCACACCCCAACAGGAGGCGTAGTCAGCCCAGCACTCCATACAGCTTGGCTGGGTTGACTATGCCTGGGAGGAGTAGTTTATTAGGCACGTCCTGTGATGTCACAAGACGCTCCTGAGGAAGACTCAAGTATCAGTTGAAACATGTCAAGGTAATACTATCGCCAACTTAAGAAAAGTGAACTAAAGGCTTAACTGTTGAGAATATGAAATACAATCAATTTAAATTGGAACTTAACATCGGATTGCAGTGTTTATCATTGAACAGTGGTCCTTAATTTCTTTCAAGCTCTATAAAAACAGAACAAATACAATCTTCTCAAATATGTCACAGCTTGACACTGAGGCTGAGCACTTTGCGCATCATTTTCTTTGGATCTATCTCCATAAACAACTTCTGTAGTGCTTCAAACGTGTGTTTCAGCTCACCTGGATAGCTTAGGTTCAGCACATACATTAGACCAAACAGCATGGCACCTGCATGTGCGACTGATGGCAACATGTTCAGGACTTTAACACCGTCTATGACAACACCAATCTCATGTGGTTGAAGAGAATCATCCTCTTCCCTGATGATGAACACTGCCATTGATGCACGAGAAAGTTCCATCTCCGCTTCTTCCCATTGGACAACCTGAGGAAATAAAATGTACTCTAATGTTCTGACAAGGAATGTACAGGGTGCCCAAAAACATTCAGTATTTTTTGGCTACCTCCTGCTAGTTTGAAGTGATATCCATTGTGGTTGAATATAAAATTATGTAAAAAATAACTGCTAAGCCAAAGCCCATTTAGGAAAGTGTGTTTAACTTAAAAGAGCAAGGAGTATGAACATTGTAAGTTATGTGTGTTTATAAATTGTAATAAACTGCTACTATAGCCACAGCTGGACACACTGCCAGAAGCAAGGCAACCACTCTGTGCCATCAGCCCCACCCACAACCAACCATTCACACACACACACACCAGACTCATTCTGTGGGGGAAGTGTCTTGCCTAAGGACACAACCACCACAGTTTGGCACTATACAGCGACCCACTGTGGCAGCTGGCGTTCCCAGAGGTCTCCCATCACAGAACTAACCAAGCCCTACCCTGGTTATCTTAAAAAATATGTCAGGATCTGGCTTTCACCTGCAGGTTTGGCCATACAAAATACACATTTGCATTGATTCAGGGAAAAACTACTCACCAGATATTCCTTGAAGAGTTGGTCTAGGTCTTCTCCAAGGTAAATAGTGAGACATTTCAGCAGACACTCTCGCTTTATATTGGCATCAAGGCTCTAGACAAAAATTATGACTGTTAGGACTCCAAATTAATTGACATGCATCCCCCTCTCCTCTCCAAAAATGTTCTTATTTTAGTAATTATTCACTTAGTGGTGTGCTCCGCATTCCTACTGTAACTGGCGAGGCAACACTGGCAACACTGTCCCACAGTGGGGAAACCACTGTGGGACAAATAAAAGGATCTACATACCCGATCGAGAGCTTGAAGAAGCCTCTGGGTCTTCTCTCTGTTAACTCCTCCCTTCCTTCTAATGAGCTCTATCAGCTTGCTGTGGTGCCTGTCCAAACAAGCAAGGAATCTTGTCTGAAGCGGAACAGTTGTAATCCTCAGAAATTCAGCATTGATCTAGAAAAACACAAGAATGATTACAAGAGAGCTAAGCAAGATTGTGATATCAGTTTTCAAAAAAACTCTGCATGAATAACATATCCTATGCTTTACATGTCACTTCTATAGTTCAACATACCTCATCCACTGTGAATAATGCAGGCCATCTTTCTTTCAATTCTTCCACTCCCAATTGCTTTTCCACTATTTCCTGTCTTCGTAGTGAAAACGTTTTGGCCATTTTAGCTTTTATTACTGCACGATTGTCTCTTTTCTTTACATCCGTTAGGAGGGATAGTCTCTCATTTTCAAGTTTTTCTGGAGTTTCTCCACTTGGAATGTCAGGTATGTGGTTGGCTTCTCCCCTCTTTGGCTTTACTTTTTTGGCTGGCAAGGCATCCTCTGGGGCTTTGGACTTTAATGAATTGGCAAGTAACTCTGTACAACCAGTTCCCTTCAGCAAAGTTCGATAGTTCCCCATTTTTGTCTTTAGCCGCTGCTTCCAACCATAGCAGCCATTGTATGAACCAGGTTCAGAAAGGCATGGATGCTTCTGGATTAGAGCTTCAGCAACTTCACTGAAGTCAGAATCTGTCGGGTATGCTTTGAACTTGAATATTTCTTCAGCAATCCTTTCCAGAATATTGGACTTTGTTTTTGTACTGTGTGTAAACCGTGTCTTGCTAGACTTATACTCTGCATTTCCTTTTTCTAACTGCAGTTCAGTGTCTAATGAAAACTTCGGGATTAGAAATTCTCTAGGCCACGTTTCAGATCTTGTAGACACTGAGCTTGATGGTGAGGACATGATCTCTGTATCATCCGTAAAGCTTGAAGATGGAAGAGATTGTGCATCCTCCAAGACAGAAATGCTACATTCATCAGTTATTGGGACGACCTTGATGGTTGTCAAATCCTCAAGTTCAGCTGTAGATGTCAAATTTATGAATGCATCACCAAAGTTTTTGTCTTGGTACTGTAGTCTGAATTCTCCATTCAAGCCACATACGTTTCTGACTTCATCCATGAGTTTCTCCATCGATTTTGGTATTCCATCTGGCAGAATAAGCTTCCTGGTGTCATCAGGCTTCAGAAAGATTCTGAACTTGACCGACATCTTCACTGCTGTCTTCCAAAGAACCCTAAGAAAGCAAAATACAAATTAAATTACAAAAATGTATTAACTCCTGTTAAAGCTTTACATGTCTGTGTGTCAGGTCTACAAGAAACAATAACCCTCACACAGTAGACAAACCAATGAAATTCTGCCTCAAACACCTCCCTCCATTTCACACACTATAGTTGTAAAAAAAATCTATTGAAGCTCAAGTTATTGATATATTTTTTTAAAAGATCAATGTCAAATTTTATTTAGCAAAGTAATTGAACTTATTTTACACCCCAACCACAAAAAATACAAAAAACTGGCTGCATTAAAAATATATAAACTAAAGATTAAGATTAGATTATTCTATTATGTTTAGTTCAAATTATGATTTTATTATACTATTATCAAATTAAAATTTTTAGTATCAAATCATGGATGAAATTTTGGATAGTGATATAGTGTGCAGCACACTATATCACAGACTGTAGGTGAAGTGACTTGCTCAAGGAAATATTGTATATTACACATTTGTCATTTAAAAAAAAAAAAAAAATCACAATCACAAATATATATATACCACCTTATGCATGTATGTATCTCTTCAGAGAGATGAGACGCCATCCACCGACCATGTAGTAATTCAAAGGGTATTGATCCATCAGTTCATGCAGGCCAACAAGCTTAAGCACCCTTGTAGTTGGCATGACCAAGTGATAAGCTCGATAAATGTTCCAAGTACCAAGCATCCAAGGTTTTCACGATGAAAAGCAGTGTCTCTTGTTCAACAATCATATGAACAATTTCACAAAACTCTGGAAGTCCACTTAATGATCCATGAGTTAAAACCATTCCAATCTTGTAGTTTAATCCATTGTAGTAAACATTTTTTGTGAGGTTTGCAGTCTCGATTTGTGGGTACTTCTCTTTCACTGCGCATGTTATATCTTCATTTAACACATCAATGGGCAACGTTGATACCTCACTGACCTGCAAGGGAGGTTTAGGAAACTTACAAATGTGTAGATTGTGGGCAGTCTGAAATTGGTGTCTTTGCGCTAGTGAATGCAAAACATTTTTGTAGCAATTTGTATGACGCATTACTCTTGAAGAAACTATGTTTTGCTTCATATCTCATAGTCCATAGTCCAACAAGCGGGCCAAACTGACGAATCAGCTGGGGATAATGCTCCAAATAATGATGTTTAGGACGCATTTTTTCCACGAGGGAATTCTTCTTGAAATACTGTCCTGTGTTCTGAGATCTTAAAGTCTAGATAACAAATAGAGTCCTCAGTGTGAAAAGGTGCAACAGCCAGTTCTACAATGTCTTTCAAATCACAGAGCATTTGCCATGCTGGGTCATCGGCAGGAACTTTGTCTCCAATTAAGAGGGGAAGAAATCTTAAAAGGTTCCAGTTCTCGTGCGCATTTCCTCCAATTGTTCTCCTTGTTGTGTAGGTTTTGGGAATAGGATGGGGACGGTTTGTCTTGTCAGCCCATTTAAATGGAAACGATGTTATTGCTTCATTCAAATTTGACAATGTGAAGTATTTTTTGGAAATGAATACATTAAGACAAAGGGCAATCTCAACAGGTATAATCCCTTCCAGCAAATCATGGGCAATATCCGGGGGAAAACTTTGTGTCACATTGAAATACGAAAGACTTTCTGATAGCACACACGTTGTTTTTACACCAAAATGATTAGTCAATGCATTATCTTCAATTGTTTTAAGATGAGAATTATGAATTTCCTTGGTCCGCAAGCAAAATTCTCCAGAGTTCACTCCTTTTGCTTGAATGTCTGAATTTTCTGCAGTACAAAATCTGCAGAAGTATCTACCAATAAAGTTCTCCACAAATCCTGCAATACTGTGTGCACCAAGATTGTCTGCCAAAACACAATGGAACAAAGCCTTTTACATTTTTCCCCAATTTAGCAATATACAGTCCTTGTTGTTCCAATATAACTAGGTCCTGTAATAAGGGCTTCAATACAGTGTCATAACCATAACATTTAACATCATCACTATGAATAAGTGCAGCTAAATAAATATTAGACAATGAGGAATGACAGCTAGCAGGTAAGTTACCCAATGTCCAATATAGCCCAAAGACCTTATACTTTTTTCTGGAGGTGCCGAGGGGATTGCAGATTTCAAAGTCATCTACATACAAAAAAAGTGAAATGGCACACTCTTTTGACAATTGCAAATTCTCTATGTAATTATTCCCATCATAAAATGAATTGTACTGATGTGACTGAATCTGATGGGGACTTCTCAAATTAATGGCAATATCCAAAAAAATATCACAACTTAAAATCTGTTGTAAGGATTTAAGTATAGAGATGTATTGGAATGATTTTTTGTTTGAGGGGTCAAGCACAAATTCAACAGGCTCAACAACGTCAAAATGTTTTAAATAATATGCCTTTCTCTTCCAAGCAGTGGAGAGAGGGCCTGGACTTCCAAGAGAGGCAGAGATGGGATGTGATTGACAGAGAGCAAATACTAGGTCTTTTACTGCAGTCTCATCTAGCTGACTGTTACCATCCTTTAAGTAATGAACAATGCTTTGATGAATAAGAGGGACAGAAGCAGTGCTTATTAAATGGTATAGCTCTTGCAAAAGTTCATCAATAGCAACACCAGAAACAAGATAAACGTGTTCCAGCTTCAGCAGGAGGGAGGCTAGTTTGTGTTCAACACCATGTCTCAAGCCAATTAGATTTTCTCCATCAAAAGTTGCATCATTGATACAATCAGAACTGAATCCATCCGAAGGCTCTATGTGGATATGATTTGAGTCATTTGTTTCAGGAGAACCTATAACCGTTTGTTCAAGAATTTCAGGCTTTAAATCATTCACTGAATTGTCCTTATGATTTCTGCTTTTATGGGTTCGAAATGAGGCATAAATATTTGTTTTGTACAAACAGCCCTGAAAGACACAAACTACTGTTTCACTGTTCAGAAGATGATGAGAAATGTGTTTGAAGTAGTCCTTTAACGTTGAGCTTTGATTGCAATAGCACAAGAGACATTTGAATGTGGTTACTCCAGATGGTGAAGAAGCTGGATGATGTCTGGACAAATGAGTCAGAAGTGCCTTCCATGTCTTGCAGGTACATGGACAATTATAATGGATGCAAGGATAGGAATGGCGGCGACCATAGTGCCTGTGCTCAAGTTTATAATGTTTAAGAAGCTCAGATCTTCGTGAAACAGAAGTACCACAATCTTTGCACTTCCACATTCATCAGAAAACTATGGGAGAAATATACAACAACAAAAACTGAATTAGACATTTGCAGCTCAACAATCTCTCTTAATGTAGGATAATGCTTTTGCATAAGAGTAAATCTTTCTTGGTAGTTATATCTTCAGGATGACTACATTCATTAAACCGGCTGGATATTAATTTAACATGAATGTTTACATCATAAATTACCCACAACTTTTATGGATTTCAGTTCTGCCATTCATATCTGTGCTGTCCTTGGGCAAGACACTTTACCAAATATATGTACATGAACAAGTGGAGAGTTGGTCTACATCAGAGGTAGTCACTGGTTACATTAGTAGCTCAGTATTATCAAAATAGTTTAGTTAACAGCCATGGCATTTATCACTTAGCATGAAATTAGAATATTGTAAAATAGTTTTACACTACAGGTTGAATTGCAGATGATGATCATAGTCATACCGTACATCTATACAGATGGACAATGCTAACTTAATGAAGCCAAATAGGCAAAACAATTAGTCAAGTTAGTTCTAAATCGGTCTCTTCTGCATTAAGACTAACACAATAGGTGGCATGAGTACACTGGTTCGCCAATCCTTACATACAGTAAATGATTTCATACAAATAATGTTCACTGTCTTGTGTGCATGTGTGGATCTACCAAATTCTGTAGCGGTGAATGCTTCCAGAGGACACCTGTAAATACAGAGACAGTGGTTACGACAAGATAGAGTACTTAAGGATATAGTATGTCGTTTCTTTGTAATCAGACCTTGTTCCCACTTGGCTACGCTTGAAATGCATACAATTTAATCACCACAAAAATAACGTATCTGTGATCAAAGCTATAGAACTACTTTGTTGCTCTATCACTAGTTTTTTCATCCATGTACTCTTAGACTCGAAAGTGTGGTCCCCTCTTAAAGTCAAAATGTGACTCACTGAAGCCTTTCTTGCAAGTAGATAAATTATTTCTAGGAATAGCTATTTACACCATTATACTTCATAATACTCCTACATGGGGACACGTGTGAGTTTAGATATACAGACACATTCTCATCGTACCCCTGCTACGTTCACACGCGCTGCGACACACAGCTTTAGCTTGTTAGCGCATGCTAGCGGGTGCAGCTATAAGGCCATAATGATTACCCACTCTCCCCGCATTGAAACTCGGCTGCAGATTAAAGCCTATGGGGCCTACAATGTCACCTTACAACATGCAGACAGCGGATTAAGCCGTGGTACCCATGGGTGACAGTCAGGGGTAGTAGCGGGTGCAGCTAACAAGGTAAAACGTGGTAGCAGGTGCAGCTAACAAGGTAAAACACGGTAGCAGGTGCAGCTAACAAGGTAAAACGTGGTAGCAGGTGCAGCTAACAAGGTAAAACGTGGTAGCAGGTGCAGCTAACAAGGTAAAACGTGGTAGCAGGTGCAGCTAACAAGGTAAAACGTGGTAACGGATGGTTGCAGCTAAGGCAACGCATGGTAGCAAGTACAGTTAACCAAGCAACGTGCGCTATTCGCTAAACAAAGTACTTTTTCGGACACGCCAGCACAGGTTGCGCAGCTTGATTGCGAGCACAGGCCCTCGAGCTTAAACTCGGCTGCGGAATATAGCCTGTGAGGGATAAGAACCCACCTTTATTAAACATACAGACAACTTCAGGCCTACTCGGTCGACACATGTGTAAAAACGTTTTACTAACCAGACCACAATATAACATTTTAGCATAACCGGTTCATACCAAAGTTCCGGC